CTGAAAAATAGAGGAGGAGGGAATAGTTTCAGAATCATTCTGTGAGACCAGTATTACCCTAATACCAAAATCAGACAAAGAAACATCAAAAGAATATCACAGATCAATATCCCTAATGAATATTGATGCAGAAATCCTCAGTAAAATACAAGCAAACCAAACTCAACAACACATCAAAAAGATTATTCATCATAACCAGTGGAATTTATCCCAGGGATGCAAGGATGGTTCAACATACGCAAATTAATATGATACATCATATCAACAGAATGAGGGTTGAAAACCATATGATAATTTTAATTGATGCTAAAAAAGCATTTGATAAAATTCAACATCCCTTCATGATATAAATTCTAAAAAAAAACTAGGTATAGATGGAATATACCTCAACACAATAACAGACATTTGTGACAGACCCATGGCTAGTATCATACTTAATGGGGAAAAACTAAAGCCTTTCCTCTATATGGAACCTGACAAGGATGCCCACTTTCACCACTGTTATTCAACATAGTACTGGAAGTCCTACCTAGAACAATCAGAAAAGAGAAAGGGCATCTAACTTGGAAAGGAATGAGTCAAATTATCTTAGTTTGTAGATGATATGATCTAATATTTGGAAAAATTAAAAGATTCCTCCAAAAAAACTATTAGATCTAATAAATTCAGTAAAGTTGCAGGATACAAAATCAACGTAAAAAATCAGTAGCATTTCTTTTTTTTTTTAAGATGGAGTTTCGCTCTTGTTACCCAGGCTGGAGTGCAATGGCACGATCTCGGCTCACTGCAACCTCCGCCTCCTGGGTTCAGGTAATTCTCCTGCCTCAGCCTCCTGAGTAGCTGGGATTACAGGCATGTGCCACTATGCTCAGCTAATTTTTTGTATTTTTAGTAGAGACGGGGTTTCACCATGTTGACCAGAATGGTCTCGATCTCTTGACCTCATGATCCACCCGCCTCAGCCTCCCAAAGTGCTGGGATTACAGGCGTGAGCCACTGCACCCGGCCAAAATCAGTAGCATTTCTATATGCCAACAGCAGTCTGGAAAAAAAATCTAAAGAGATCTCATTTATAGTAGCTATAAATAAAATAAAATACCTGGGAATTAACCAAAGAAGTGAAAGATTTCTGCAATGAAAACTATAAAACATTGGTGAAATAAATTGAAGAGTACACAAAAAAAGGAAATATTCCATGTTCATGGATTGGAAAAATTAATATTGTTATGTTCATACTTCCCAAAGTAATCTACGGAGTTAATGTAATTTCTATCAAAATACCAATGACATTTTCACAGAAACAGAAAAAAAAAAAAACCCTAAAATTTGTATGGAACTGCAAAAGATCTAGAATAACAAAAGCTGTTCTGAGTAAAAATATCAAAACTGGACAAATCACATTACCTGACTATAAATTATACCATAGAGCTATAGCAACCAAAACAGCATAAAACAGACATAGAAATCAGTGGAACAGAATAGAGAACCCAGAAACAAATCCATACATCTACAGTTAACTGATTTTTGACAAAGGCACAAGAACATACCTTGGGGAAAAATAGTCTCTTCAGTAAATGGTGCTGGGAGAACTGGATATCAATGTACAGAAGAATAAAACTAGACTCCTATCTCTCACCATATACAAAAATCAAATCCAAATGGATCAGTGACTTAAATCAGAGACCTCCAACTCTGAAACTAAAAGAAAACACAGGGAAACTCTCCAAGACATTGGCTGGGGCAAAGATTTCTTGAGTACTACCCCACAAGCACAGGCAACCAAAGCAAAAATGATCAAATGGGATCACATCAAGTTTAAAAGCTCCTTGCGTGGCAAAGGAAACAAGTGAAGAGAGAACCCACAGAATGGGAGAAAGTATCTGCAAACTCCCCATCTGACAAGGGATTAACAAGCAGAATATAGAAGGAGCTCAAACAACTCTGTAGGAAAAAATCTAATTCAATTAAGAAATGGGCAGAAGATCTGAGTGAACATTTCTCAAAAGAAGACATAGAAATGACAAACGGGTATATGAAAGATGTTCAACATCATTAATCATCAGAGAAGTGCAAGTCAGAACTACAGTGAGATATCGTTTCACCCCAGTCAAAATATCCAAAAGATGGGAAATAGCAAATGCTAGTGAGGATGTGGAGAAAAGGGAACCCTTGTATACGGTTGGTCGGAATGTAAATTAGTACAACTACAACTACTGTAGTTCTAATTTACACCTACTATAATAGTTGTACTGTTCATATGGTAGTTGAGCTGTATGAACAACTTGAAGTTGCCTCAAAAAACTAAAAATAGAGCTACCGTATGATGCAGCAATCCCACTGCTGGGTATATACCCAAAAGAAAGGAAATCAGTATATCAAAGATATCTGCACTCCCATGTTTGTTGCAGCACTGTTCACAATAGCCAAGATTTGGAAGCACCCTAAGTGTCCATCTACAGATGAATGGATAAAGAAAATGCGGAACATACACGTCACTATCCAGCCATAAAAAAGAATGAGATCCTGTTACTTGTAATGACATGGATGCAAGTAGAGGTCATTATGTTAAATGAAATAAGCCAGGCACACAAAGACAAACCTCCCATGTTCTGGCTTATCTGTAGGAGCTAAAAATGAAAGCAATTGAACTCATGAAGGTAGAGTAGAAGGATGGTTGCCAGAGGCTAGGAAGGGTGGTTGGAATGGGGGAAGTGGGAGTCCCAGCTACATGGGAGGCTGAGATCAGAGGACTGCTTGACTCAGGAGGTGGAGGTTGCAGTGAGTTGAGATCATACCACTGTAACTCCAGCCTGGGTGACAGAGGGAGACCCTTCTTGGAAAAAAAAAAAAATGATAGCTCAAAGTATTTTAATAAAATTGGGCCATACATATCATTTCAAACATGGTATTGTTTGAAATAAAAGATATCAAGTGTAGTTAATAATTTAAGTGCAATAGAAAAGGAGTCTAAGAAATCTTGAAAAATATTGTTGTACTTCATATACATCTTCTTTGCAACATGAGAGACTCATGTTGATCTAAGAGATTGTAAAGACTGTTTCAAGATTGGAGTTACAATTAGTTTTTAAATTTAGGTTTTCTGGCTGGCTGTAGTGGCTCACGCCTGTAATCCCAGCACTTTGGGAGGCCAAGGCAATAGGGTCACCTGAGGTCAGAAGTTCGAGATCAGCCTGGCCAACATGGCGAAACCCTGTCTCTACTAAAAATCCAAAAATTAGCTAGTCCTGGTGGTGGGTGCCTGTAATCCCATCTCAGGAGGCTGAGGCAGGAGTATCACTTGAATCCAGGAGGCAGAGGTTGCAGTGAGCTGAGATTGTACCACTGCACTCTAGCCTGGGCAACAGAGGAAGATTCTTCTAAAAAAAAATTACCTTTCCATTGTATGCTAATGTGTAGAATTCTGCATGTAATGTGCCCAGTTTAAAGAATAATTATAAAGCAAATCCCCATGTAACCAGTGCTCAAACAATGAAATAGAATATAATGGCACCCTGGAATCCCTCTGAGTGGTTTCTCCTGCCACGCCTGCCTCCCTGCCTGCAGAGGTGGGACAGTCCTACTTCTGCCTTCCTTGGTGCGTATGGTTTAACCATGTACACATGCATCTCTAAACACTGCAGGGTCATTTTCTCTGTTTTAAAACTTTATGTGTTCATGTCTTCATATTATTTGGTGGCTTTTTTCTTTTATGACTTGCTCATTTCATTTATCATTGAGATTCATTCATTTTCCACACTGAAATTCTGGTTCATTGTAGGCTTAATGTAAGATGTTCAGGCCATATTGTGTATTAGAAACAAAGACACAAAAATGCCCTCTTCACTTTCACTTTCCATCTATTTTATTATAATTTCTATTTCTTAATCCTTTCTCAGACCCATGTAGATGTCTTCATTCTCCCTACCAACACCTCATTCAGACAGCTCTCATTTGCACAACTATAGCAGGCTTGCTTTATCTAGTCTCCTGGCCTCCATCAGTTTTGCCGCCTCTCATTGGTTCTTCCGAAATAATAATTTTTGAAATGAAATATTCGTAAATCTTCCTTGCATAAATGAATTAAAAGCACCATTGTCTTAGAGATTGCTATATAATGAACAAGTTCAAACTCTTAGGATCTTAAGAAGTACAAAAAATAAGGCATTGAGCCTTATTTTTTGTACTTCTATGTCTTTGAGTTGTTTAGAGTAGCTCTACTTCATCAACTTGGTTCTGGGCTTTTCAGGGAGGTCAGATCCATTCCACATGTCACTATGTTCTCCTTGGACCACGGGCTACCTCACAGGAGCTCAAGATGCCAAGCCAAACTGTTAGAGCAGCGCATCTATTGATATATCAGTGACTACAGAAAGTCCTGTGGTCAAGCCCAGCATCAGTTGGTAGGGAAGTGTTTATTCTTTGCCCACTCTAGTACACTGCAGGGTCGCAAGGCTGAGAGAGAGAATGAAGAATTGTGAAGAGTAATCTAATACACCACAACCCTTGTCAATAGCAGTACATTCTGTCCTTATTTAGATGGTTAATTTCTTTATTTGTTCCTTTTGTTATTTTGACTGTGAATTCCAATTAAAATATCTTATTAAACCCCAAAGAGGGATACATGTAAAAGAATATAAGCAGTTGAATTTGATGTGTTGATATCACTCTTGAGGAGTTCTATGACTTGAGGCAAGTCAATTTAATGTTACTGTCTCATTTTCCACATCCAAAGGATATGTTTTTACATCTCTCTCTCTTGAGAATTCTCAGAATATGCAGAGGATAATGTATTAGTCAAAAACAAGGATATTGAAATATTCCTAGGTCTCGTTTACTTATTAACAAGGTGACAATGTAGCTTGACTTTGGCTTTGTACCTATACGGTCCTTAAGACGTCCCCTGTCTCTCAGCTGGGAAGTGTTATCAGTGTTGTTAACCAGGAAGAGAGTTAACCAAGAGATCGTAGCAATAACCTTTTCTTTCCCTCACTCTGCTATAGGACATAATGATTATATTTGTCCAGCTACAAATCAGTGTACAATCGATAAAAACCGGCGCAAGAGCTGCCAGGCCTGCCGACTTCGGAAGTGCTACGAAGTGGGAATGGTAAAGTGTGGTGAGTACTCGCTTCCCTTCTTATTGCATGTGGGCCTTGCTAAAAGCTCTGTCCTCCGAGGAACTGGGGACATGTAGCTGGGAAGAGAAGATGATTTAGGACATAGTAATTAAGTATGTGTGTGTAGTTTGTTTGTTTTTTTGAGACTGAGTTTCGCTCTTGTCACCCAGGCTGGAGTGCAATGGCGCAATCTCGGCTCATCGCAACCTCCGCCTCCTGGGTTCAGGCAATTCTCCTGCCTCAGCCTCCTGAGTAGCTGGGATTACAGGCACGCGCCACCATGCCCAGCTAATTTTTTGTATTTTTAGTAGAGACGGGGTTTCACCATATTGACCAGGATGGTCTTGGTCTCTTGACCTCATGATCCACCCGCCTTGGCTTCCCAAAGTGCTGGGATTACAGTGTGTGTAGCTACGTTGGAGGGGGCATTGACTTATCCACAGTAACTGCAGAAAACAGAGCTGGGGTGAATGGGAACATATCATGGGAGGCAGATTTTGGCCCCAGGTAGAGAAAAACTTTATACAGTTCTAGTGGTCTGACCACAGCATAGGTCACCACGTGGGTTAGGGGACTTCTAGCTACTGGAGTCCTCAAACAGGACTGGGTGACCATCTGTCTGTGACCTTGAAAAATCCAGTTCTAAGGATGAAATCCTGGTAAATGTCCACGGTTAAAGCTTGTGACAAAAAAGTAGAATATCTTGTGGATTACTGGAGTAGCCAGGCGGAAGCTAGTCATACCTTGACTAGCTTTCTAGAAGTAGAAAAATATGTAGGAGTCAGAAACATAATTCAGCTATCAAAAGTACATACAGCATAGATTTTGTTCTAGGACAGTAATAGGTGTATACATGTGTGTATATTAACATATTTACGTATATATATTCACATTTTATACACACACAAAGAAAAGTGAGCAGTTTTAGTATATAACTGACAAAGATGCCGACGCCCAGCTCTGTCCACCTGGCGAGTTTAGGTTCATTTGTCTGTACTGGCTTGTTTATAGGCACTCATAGCAGCTTGCCTGCACTTATTCTTCTGCTAGCCAGTATTTTACCTGTGGTTAGTTGTAATTTCTCTCTTTATAATTATTTGAAAATTTAAAACAAAAATCTCTTTACTCCCTGACAGTTTCTTAATAGCGCTGCCTTGTGAGCATTCTCTGCCTTTTTCTTTTTCTCTGTGTTATATATAACAGATTAGAACCCTCAGCTATTATAGTTCAGAGTTACAGCAGAAGTCCTCTTAATTTGATCACGCTTCTCTGGCTTCCTAGAGTCACTGATGTTCTTCATTCCTCAGTAAAACATCCTACCAGTACCCAAAGCCTCACCTTTGGGCACTGGTAGGATGTTTTACAGAGGAATGAAGAACATCAGTGCATGTATTGGTTACTCTCTCAAACACTTAAACTTTTCTGTTCCCATTGCTTCAGTTTGTCCTTATCAGAAACCAATGGGCTTCTTCTCAAACCTGTTTTTGCTCAATGCAATTGTTACATTATAAAATTTAATTAAAATTTATGCAAACATATTATGAATAGGAAAAGACAAGTTTGTTTTTTTCTATGAAAGTTTAGTTGAAAGTTTTGAATAAAATCTTTTATGAATACTTGAATAAAATCTTAAAGGGCTAATAGCTATTGAGATAGGTATGGGTGAGATTGGGGGGCAAAACGTAAACGTAGGAAGATCCTGAATTCAGAATTCCTTAGAAGTATCTAGATTCTTGCTCTGTTTTAAAGAAGCTGAAACTAAAAATCCAGAGATATCTCATGAGTAGGTTTATGCAAAAAAGTGACTTTGTCTAATTGGCCCAGATAATTAAAGAGCCTTGGCTCCCTGACAAAAGATTGCAAATAAATGTTTTAAGTTTTAAGTTAAACAATATTTTAAGGCGAGTGTGTGTGTGTGTGTTTAAAAAATGATTTCCAGCTTAGTCTTAAGAACTCTTTTGTTGTACTAGTGTCCGTTGCACAGAGGTAGCCCTCATGGCCCAAGGCAGTCTATGCTGGGAAGGGCATGGAGGTTGGACCCCATAGAGTGTTTCATCACTTCTTGCATTGTGACTGTGCTCAAACTAGTGAACCTCTCTGGCCATCGGTTCTCTTATCTCTGAACAGAGATATCTGCTTCACTGGATTTTGTGAAGTATGAAAACATGTATAAAGACTTAGCTCAGTACCTGACACTCAGTTTTAGTTTTTCTCCTTCTCTCTCCTTCCCTGGAAAGCTCATATGAGTTTTGATTCAATACTGTTTCACGAGACAGAGTACAAAGGGATAAAGAAGCTTTCATAGAAAAGGGAATGAGAGAAATTTCTGAATTTAGCCAGAAAGTTTAAGAGAAGACTGTCTTCTCTGTGGAGATTACAGAAGAAATGAGATGGGTTGTTGCAGATATACAATGGGATATTTCACCCTTCACTGACCATAGAGAAAGACCATTAGAGATGAACTTTCTTAATTCTGTCTCTTTCCTGTCCCATCACTCTTCCTATCTGCCCTTCCCCAAACCCTCTATGCACACTTTTTCTTTCTTTTTTTTTTTTTTTAAGATGGGGTTTCACCATGTTGTTCAGGCTGGTCTTGAACTCCCAACCTCAGGTGATCTGCCTGCCTTGGCCTCCAAAGTGCTTGGATTAGAGGCATAAGCCACCACGCCTGGCCACGCTTTTTCTTCTATCAGGTCTTGAAGGCTTAGAGGTTCTACCTGCATTTTGGATCCTCCTGCACCATCCTGCTTCCCCCTATTATTCTGAAGCCATGTAGTCTGTTATCACCTTTTTCTTCTGAATTTCTGATCTTGTCTTTTCTACTAAAGTTTTGATGTGGTCCTATAATGGCAGGAGGACATTCACTTAGACTAACTTTATGGATGAAACTTCGTTATAAGGATACACTGAAATGTAAGGAGCCAGGAAATCCATCTAAATAGCCATGTATTTGGCCTATATCCCCATATTGCTAGGATAGCTCAAAATCTTTTGGATGCCATATCTTTCTATACCTGCTGTATATTTTTCCATGAAAGGGATTTGATAGGTAGGTAGTATAAAATAGTGGTTAAACGCATCAGCTCTGGATTCAGGCTACTGCTTGGGTTTAGATCCTGCTTCTACTATTTTCTACCTATACCATCTTAGACAAGTTATTTAAGCTTATGTTTGGTTCCTCCTCTGTATATTGGAGGCAGTAATATCTCCTATACTGTAGAGTAGCTGTCAGAATAATCTATGTGCAATATGCAATAACTGGTGCATAGAAGCTTCCAGTAGATGTTAGCTGCCATTAGTATCATTTGTCACTATTATCGTCATCATCTTTGGCTGGGGCTATTTGCCACTCTAATATGGAGCACTCCTATTTGGTAGAGCTGCTCATTAAGCTCACTGAGAGGCAGCTGCCTAGGTTACAGTATAAAAGCCGTAACACTAGAAACATCCTCGATAGAAAAATGAGTTCCTTGTCAAGGGCTTTATTTATTGAGTCTAGAATTCTCAGAACTCATTACAGGGCCTAGAACATTAGACTTTGTCAGTGAAAACTTGTCAAGTAAATTTGAATGTATGAGTTCAAAATCTCTCACTTTGGGTGTGTAAATCTGTTTTCTAAATTGCTTTTTCTCATATACTCTACAAAAGAGAAATGCATGATCATACAGGTGCTTTTTTTTCTCTTTTTTTCCCATGAGAGGGTATCACTCAGCTGCCCAGGCTTGAGCACAGTGGCACAATCTTGGCTTACTGCAGCCTTGACCTCCTTGGGCTCAACTAATCCTTCCACCTCAGCCTCCTGAGTAGCTAGGACTATAGGTGTGTGTGCCACCGTGCCTGGCTAATTTTTGTATTTTTTGTAGAGACCAGACTAGTTGAACTCCTGGGCTCAAGTGATCCTCTTGCCTCAGCCTCCCAAAGTGCTGGGGGATTACAGGCATGAGCCACTGTGCCTGGCATACAGGTGCTTTTTAAAACCATACATTTTGCAGCAAACTACCATGGCACGTGTATACCTGTGTAACAGACCTGCACGTTCTGCACTTGTATCCCAGAACTTAAAGTATAGTAAAAATAAAAATAAACATACACTGTGTTCCATTTTACCCTAGGTGTATAATTGACCTTAAATACCCATAGCATTCTACTTGATTACAAATAAAATGAATTATATTTTAGGCCTTTAATTCTTTCAGCAGTAAATTTGCTTCAAATGTTTCTGAATAAATAGAGCCCTTTCTTCTACTATAACTAGTCAAGGTTAAGAGGAAATTCTGATAAATTTTCCTGGGAGCCAATAATTTAAATTTGCTCATACTTTCTAACTAATATTTATTTTTTTTAATGTAGACAATTGAATTTAGTGAAAAAACATAATCAAATGGGCTATAAAAACTAAGCATTTTGCGGATTTTAACTTTTAGGGTTTTTTTAAGGGTAAATTCACATAAAAGTTGTAACCATGCTAATGACATCCTGACTTACAACATGTCTTTCTTAATTTCCATTTCACATTTTTGTCTTTAACCAATGAAAACTTATAAAGATTTTGGTGCTCAAATGTAGAGAGATTTAGAAGTTATATTTTTGTTGTTGATTTCTATTTTTCTTATGGTCAGAGAATATGGTCTGAATGATACCTATTTTACTTAAGATTTTCTTCATTGCCTAGTATGTGATAAGTTTTGCAAAATTTCTATGGTCTTTATAGATGAAGCTTGTTAATTATGTAGTTCAAATATTCTGCATTCTGACTTTTTGCTCTTTCAGCTGTTGAGAGGTTTAAATATCCCATTATAATAGTGCATCTGTCAGTTTCTCTTTTTCTTGCAATCATTTTTTGTGTTGTACTTGGAGGCTGTGTTTTGTTGTTTATGATTTTTTTTTTTTCTGCAGAATCTTGCTCTGTCACCCAGGCTGGAGTGCAGTGGTGCGATCTCAGCTCATTGCAACCTCTGCCTCCCAGGTTTGTGTGATTCTCCTGCCTCTGGAGGCCTCCTGAGATTGGGATTACAGGAATGTGCCACCATACCTGGGTAATTTTTGTATTTGTAGTAGAAATGAGGTTTCACCATGTTGGCCAGGCTGGTCTTGAACTCCTGACCTCAAGTGATCCACCAGCCTCAGCCTCCTAAATTGCTGGGATTGCAGGTGTGAGCCAACTGTGCCTGGCCTATGTTGTTTTGAAGTATATGAGTTTAGAATTATTTATCTTTTATTAATATTCTAGAAATGAGTCTCCTAATCTATAATAATAAATTTTGCCTTAAAGTTTGTCTGATATCAATAGAGTAACATCAATTTATTTGATTAATTTTTGCCTGTTATATATTTTTCTGTCTACTTTGTTTTTCTGTATGTGAGGTATATCTCTTATGACTAATCTATGTCTAGATTTAAAAATATATAGGATTTCAGAGTCACTCTTAAATGGTCAATTTAGTATTTTTTCTTTATTGTGATAACTAATATTTGGGTTCATTTCTATCTTATTTTGTGATTTTAAAATTTTTATGTATTTTCTACTTCTTTCCTTTTAGGATTTAATCACATTTTTGTTTTATTTTTCTTCTTTTACTAGTTTGAAAGTCATACATTCTGTTTTATTTCCCTTTTTTTTTTTTGAGACAGAGTCTCGCTATATCACCCAGGCTGGAGTCCAATGGCACGATCTCAGCACACTGCAGCCTCTGCCTTTTGGGTTCAAGTGATTCTCCTTCCTCAGCCTCCTAAAGAGCTGGGATTGCAGGGGTATGCCACCATGCCCAGCTAATTTTTGTATTATTAGTAGAGACAGGGTTTCACCATGTTGCTCAGGCTGGTCTTGAACTTCTGGCCTCAAGTGATCCCTCCCCCCCTTGGCCTCCTAAAGTGCTGGGATTACAAGTGTGAGCCACCATGCTTAGCCACATTTAAATTCCTTTAGTGACATTTCTATTTTTCAACATGTGTTCTTGATTAATATGAGAATTTAAGCTTTTATCTTCCCAAAAAAAGAATTTTAGAAATTCTAACCAAAGTCATTCATCTCTCATCTTACATGTTATTGTTAGGTATTTTGGTTCCACCTTGTTTCTGTATCACAAAAACTTTAAATATTGGATTGCATGTGGTGGCTTCTACCTGTAATCCCAGCACTTTGGGAGACCAAGGCAAGAGGATCATTTGAGCCTAGGAGTTCAAGACCAGTGTGGACAACATAGCAAGACCCTGTCTCTACACAAAATACAAAAATTAGTCAGGTGTGGCGGTGCACACTGTAGTCCCAGCTACCCAGGAGGATCACCTGAACCTGGTAGGTTGAGGTTGCAGCGGGCTGTGATCATGACCATTCCACCATACTCCAGCTTGGGGGACAGAGAGACCCTGTCTCTAAATAAATAAATAAATACAAAGAATAAGCATATAAATCAAATTTGCTAGTAATTAAAACATACAAAGTAAAGCAAGATGGTTTAGTCATTTGTTAGATTAGCACACATTAAAAATGATTTTTAATGCCAAATGGGTCTGAGAAAATAGTCAAACTATTGAGCACTGGGCAACATAGACCGTATCTCTACAAAAATATTTTAAAATTAGCTGGGCATGGTGGCATGTTCCTGGAGTGCCAGCTACTCAGGAGGCTGAGGTAGCAGGGTTGCTTGAACCCAGGAGATGGAGGCTGCAGTGAGCTATGATTGCACCACTATATCCACCTTGGGCAACAGAGTGAGACTCTTTCTCAAAAATACAATGAAAATAAAATTGTGTATATACTACAATCTAGTTTTGTATGTAAAGGCCAGGCGCAGTGACTCATGCCTGTAATCCCAGCACTTTGGAAGACTGAGATGGGCAGATCACCTGAGGTCAGGAATTTGAGACCAGCCTGGCCAATGTGGTGAAAACCTGTCTCTATTTAAGTAAATACAAGAATTAGCTGGGCGTGGTGGCATGTGCCTGTAGTCCCAGCTACTTGGGCAGCCCAGGCAGGAGAATTGCTTGTATCTGGGAAGCAGAGGTTGCAGTGAGCCAAGGTTGTGCCACTGCACTCTAGCCTGGCGCCTGGCGACAGAGTGAGACTCCATCTCAAAAAAAAAAAAAAAAAAAAAAAAAAATTAGCCAAGTGTGGTGGTAGGTACCTATAATTCCCAGCTACTCAGGAGGCTGAGGCTGGAAAATTGCTTGAACCTGGAGACTGAGGTTGCATGAGCCAAGATTGCAGCACTGAACTGCAGGCTGGTTGACACAGTGAGACTCCGGCTCATAAATAAATAAATAAATAAATAAATAATTTTGTGTATAAAACATGGAAAAACATAAAAGCATTAAAAAGACTGAAAGACAGCACTTTGGGAGGCCGAGGCGGGTGGATCACGAGGTCAACAGATCGAGACCATCCTGGTCAACATGGTGAAACCCCGTCTCTACTAAAAATTACAAAAAATTAGCTGGGCACAGTGGCGCGTGCCTGTAATCCCAGCTACTCAGGAGGCTGAGGCGGGAGAATTGCCTGAACCCAGGGGGCGGAGGTTGCAGTGAGCCAAGATCGCGCCATTGCACTCCAGCCTGGGTAACAAGAGCGAAACTCCGTCTCAAAAAAAAAAAAAAAAAAAAGACTCAAAGAGTTTATGCCAAAATTTATTCTCTTTTATATTCTCCAGATTTTTTTCACTTAGTTTTTTGAAATATACTTGTTTTGTGTAAGTATGGAAAAGAAATATAAATATATGCACACATGCATATAAACATTTTAAGAATGTGTTATAATAAAAGTGTATTATTTGATACCTTCAGAAATATCCCCATTTTTCTACCTGAAGAAAATTCCTAATTTCATGGTTTGGAAACAGGTATGTGAGCGCTCTTTATAGAGAAATGGAGTTAGCATCTAGAGATGACCTGGAAATGGAGACCTGAAAAGTTGCTGAAAAGTTATGTTGTTGGTTTGCTAGTAGAGTCAAGACCATAGTAATCTTTGATATGTGCCCTACACGCTGAAGAGTCAGGCTTCTTTTAGTTGACTGTGGTTTTACCCTGGCAATTCGAATGACTCTGCTTTCCTCTTCAGGCTCCCGGAGAGAGAGATGTGGGTACCGCCTTGTGCGGAGACAGGGAAATGCCGAGGAGCAGCTGCATTGCGCCGGCAAGGCCAAGAGAAGTGGTGGTCACGTGCCCCGAGTGCGGGAGCTGCTGCTGAGCGCCCTGAGCCCCGAGCAGCTGGTGCTCACCCTCCTGGAGGCCGAACCGCCCCATGTGCTGATCAGCCGCCCCAGCGTGCCCTTCACTGAGGCCTCCATGATGATGTCCCTGACCAAGCTGGCCGACGAGGAGTTGGTACACATGATCAGCTGGGCCAAGAAGATTCCCGGTAGGGCCTTCTGGCTATTAGTTTTCCATGTGCTTGTAGAAAGGCCTGCTGCTAATATTTAAGGGGCAAGAGTACAAAGTAGAGGTCCACGAGCTGTGCCTAGATATTTAACAGTTCCACAGCTGGATTTGTAACTTCTGAGTGCAATATGTTCTTTGCTCCCATCTTGGCATACCTACCTTCAACAAGGCCATGTTCCGATTTAGAATTCTAAGACTCCTCTAAGTTCAGTACCAGACATGGTAGTGCAGAAAGAGCTGTCACCCAGCCGTTTCTATTCTTGACTCCCTTCTTTTCCCATGGACAGATGCATCCCATACTACCTTCCTTGCACAAACCCCATCCTATGTGTCCATGTCTGCTACAGACACCTGTTGGCCACCTTTCATGCCTAGAGGTGGTCTGGGAGGATGGACCCAGGGAACCCACCCAGGCTCTGAAATTGGGCTTGGGGTCATTTGGGCAAGAAATCCTAGGGTCCTGGAACCTGGAACAGGGTTAAAATGATGGGCTCAGCTAGGCGTGGTGGCTCACGCCTGTAATCCCAGCACTTTGAGAGGCCGAGGAGGACGGAATACAGGGTCAGCTGTCAAGACCAGTCTTACCAACATGGCAAAACCTTGTCTCTACTAAAAATACAAAAATTAGCCAGGCATGGTGGCAGATGCCTGTAATCCCAGCTACTTGAGAGGCTGAGGCAGGAGAGTCGATTGAACCCAGGAGGCGGAGGTTGTAGTGCCGAGATCACAACAGAGCAAGACTCTGTCTAAAATAATAATAACTAATTAATTAATTAAAAAGCTGGGCTCCACATTGACCTGTCCTTTGGCTGTGGACTCCTCACCTTGAGAGGAGGGGCATGTTTAGATAGGATGGGGCAGGGTGCAGTATGACTGGTTTGGAAGTGAAAGGTTTGTCAGATGTTAAATAGAATTTTATAAATTATTATTCCAATAGAGAATCAATATTATGTACATAAATAAGTATGTATGGACAAATAGAGTAAATCAGTTACATGAATCCTCAATGGGCCCATAAACTTGGAATGCCATTGAGTTAAAAGTGAGCTTAGTGACTCGTGAGTTATCATTTGGAACCTGCATTTTCCATCCTCTAAAATGATCACTTCTCCCAAGCCCATTTGTAATATATACCTGAAGGGCTGTATGATGCTAAAATTACCAGCCAATTATCATTTGACTTGGTGTTTCTGTGGAGGAGTGAATCTAGGATTCTAACCTAGAATGGCAACACCCCACAATCCCCCTGTGAAAGCTTCCCCATGCCCTTCTTTACAGTCCTTGAAGAAAAGAAGTCTCTTACAAGTTCTGAGCCACTGGGGACATTCCCATGGCCTGGAGAGCAGCAAGTGTACTGGGCAAATGTAAAGATGAGGAGGGGTGAGAAGCTGGGGGGAGAGCAGTTCCAGGTAAAGAGCCCGGGGAACTGAGGCCTACAGTGACAGTATCACTTGGGGACTTTTGTTGGCCTGGGCCCATTTCTTCTGAGCTTCCTGAGGATTTTTTGGTTTCTAGTTGTATTTTGTTTTGTCTAGCATCTTCACCTTTGCCAGAATTACTTTATTTTCTCTGCTTTTTCCCAGAGGAGACAGTGCTGATGCACTTTGCTCTAGTTTTTGCTTTAAATGTATTCCAAACACAGTTTTGCAGGACCACACATGGAGAGCAGTGGTGAAATTAGTTATTACTGAAAGCTGTGCCCCTTCTTTGTGCCATAAGAAATCTGAACTTTTCAGCTGCATTATTCCTTATTAAACCTGGTGTTTTTAAAAATTTTTGGGAAACATAGGCATAGTCTGAAGGCGTGATTTTTCCCCCCTCTCCTAGCTGGCATAGTCATTGTCCAAACAAACAAAAAAGTTATCATCTAGCCCTAATTTTGTTGAATATCTACAAGATTAAGAACCGTGATCTCTCTTGGGTAGGCTATTGTCTATCACTGTGGGTGAGATTGGGAAGGTGTATACACATTAGGAACCTAAGTTGAGCATAGCATGTGGATTTAGAAAGTATTTATCCATCTTTACATTCATAACACCATGAAATTCTCCTTTATGCAAATTGGCACTATAATTGTTCCAAGACTTGAACCACATGTGTTCTCTCTGCCATAGCATCCTCATCTGTAAAATAAGGATGGTAAGAGATCCTGCCTATAGGACATTCCCAGAGATAGGCATTATTATCCCCATTTTCCTATAAGAAAAACAAAGACTTAGTGGGAAATTAAGTGACCAGCTAGCAAGAGGCTGAGCTGGGATTCAAACCAGAGTCCATTTCATGCCAATGCTCTGTCTTTTGTTACCATATTTCTATTACATGGTCCTCTCCTTTTATCATGGCTTGTGGAGGAAGCCCCGGTGTTCTATGCTTTTTTTTAAAGTGCTCCCCTCCCCAGAGGTTACCTGTTTTCAATCAGTATTGTGACCAACATGTGTTATTAGGTTGTCAGGACCTGCTTCGTTATATTTGCTTTTTATTATTATGTTTTTGAGACAGAATCTTGCATCTCGCCCAGGCTGTAGTGCAGTGGCGCCATCTCGGCTCACTGCAATCTCTGCCTCCTGGGTTCAAGCAATTCTTCTGCCTCAGCCTCCCAAGTAGCTGGGATTACAGGCATGCACCACCATGCCTAGCTAATTTTTTTTGTATTGTCAGTAGAGACGAGGTTTCACTATGTTGGCCAGGATGGTCTTGATCTCCTAACCTCATGATCCTCCCGCCTTGGCCTCCCAAAGTGCTGGGATTACAGGCAGGAGCCACTGTACCTGGCCATATTTGCTCTTTATTTATTTATTTATTTTTTTGAGACAAGGTCTCACCCTGTTGCCCAGGCTGGAGTGTGGTGGTGTGATCTTGCTCACTGCAGTCTTGACCTCCCGGGCTCAAGCCATCCTCCCACTTTAGCCTTCAGAGTTTCTGGGACTTCAGTCACCTACCACCGTGACCAGGTAATTTTTTGTAGAGATGGGGTTTCCCCATGTTGGCCAGGCTGGTTTCCAAATCCTGGGTACAGGCAATCTACCTACCTTGGCCCCCCAAAGTCCTGGGATTACAGTTGTGCCTCACTGTGCCTGGGCTATGTTTGCTGTTTAGGATAGAATCACCCAGAAACAGTGCTTCTACCTAGAAGAAGGATCCTAACACTGGATGGGAGATTTTAAGCAATCAGAGAAATCCTTGCTGTTGAGTCCTTGGCTTTCTGTGCGGGCTGGCACTGCTGTCTGCATGCCTCCACCTGCAGCCTCCACCTACCGCATTCCCCAGCGCCTTCTGATCCCAGTCAAGGACTGGGTCAGACAGGCAGCTCCTCTGACTGGCAGCCAAACATTAACCTTCTCAGTAGCGCAGAGGAATGATCAGGACGCAGCTAACGACAGTTGGTTCTGAGCCCAGGTCATAGTGCTTGACAAACTCCAAATGATGTCTCTAGAAGGGGTCCAAGACTGGAAACCGGTTGCGCAGCTTAACTTAAAAGTTTTCTTCCTTTAATGAGCAGTTAATCACATCTATAAAATATTGATTCCCTAATGGTTTCTGTTTTCTTAGTGTTTTAACACTTGCCATTCTATCTCTACAGAAACAGGGAGCTGAGGAGGAGGGGTGGGGGTGTCTCACTACCTTTTACTTTCCCCAGGCTTTGTGGAGCTCAGCCTGTTGGACCAAGTGCGGCTCTTGGAGAGCTGCTGGTTGGAGGTGTTAATGGTGGGGCTGATGTGGCGCTCAATTGACCACCCCGGCAAGCTCATCTTTGCTCCAAATCTCATTCTGGACAGGTGAGAAAAAAACATATTGTGTTTCTTCTCCAACTTGTTTGAGTAAGGTGCTGAGTGAGTGGGAACAAAGTCCTAGGTGCTGCAATTAAAATCTCACACCTGCAGGGCAATTAGAGGATGATGGCATCATTAGATCCTTCAGTGGGTCAAGAACCAGAGAAGGAGAGAGAGAGGATCAAGGATTCAGGGTCCTGTGACTCATTTTTAATCTGAGGTGCATTACAGGCCAGCGCCTTAATAGGGGACTGTATCCTGTAGGGATGTGGCCACTATGTATATAAGTCGACATAGACTTTTCTGCATTAAAAATTCCATTTTCAGGTTACAATCTTAAGTTGTCCTTCTGTGTTTTGTACCTATAGTGACCAATTACATCTGTAGCTTTCTGGACAGGTGATAATAGTCTTAAAAATCTGCCAAGTTTATTTTCATATGCTTTAACTCATTCTTTTTTTTTTTTTTTTTTTTTTTTTGGAGACAGAGTCTTACTCTGTTCTTCAGGCTGGAGTGCAGTGGTTCAATCTGGCTCACTGCAACCTCCACCTCCTGGATTCAAGTGATTCTCCTGCTTCAGCCTCCCAACTAGCTGGGATCACAGCCTGCCACCACGCCAGGCTAATTTTTGTATTTTTAGTAGAGATGGTTGTACCATGTTGGGCAGGCTGGTCTTGAACTCCTGACCTCAGGCAATCTGCCCACCTTGGCCTCCCAAAGTTCTGGGATTACAGGTGTGAGCCACTGTGCCCTGCCTGCTTTAACTCATTCTAATGCATGTACTACATAGCATTTTTCACAATAGTGGTGAGAGGAAGAGTTACTAAAACCACATGAAACTTAACAGAAATTGGGATGTGTTGCTATAACTTGGTTGCGTTTGATTTTCTTTTAAAGATGACATGGAAAAGGAACCAATTTTTAATTGACTTAGGTGAACTGTTTATGGAGGGAAACCTGAACTATATAAAAACACTCAAGTTTTTTTAGCGGGAAAAGTAGACTACCTTCTTGGTATAAATTTGAGCAGTTTGAAAATCTTCATGGAAATTGATTTCCACACCTCTTTTATGGAAAAACTGCTAGTGTTGAGTGTTCAGCCACATCTGACTCTGCAGAGTGGGAGGATGGCTAGTGCCTACCCCAACTCTTTCATTATTATCCTGTTACACTTTAGATCATCAGAAGACCCTGTGTTACACAGATGAAGAGTGATACCCCAAGGTATCAGTCTCATCTGCCTTTTGTCATGGTTGACAATGTTATTAAAAGAGAACTGTTCTGCATAATGAAGGTGTTTTGATAGAGAACAGATCCTTAGGGAAAAGCTGGAGGACTGATGTGACTTGAACAGGAGCAAGCCTAGGTGGTGAACCACACAGGGAGGCTATGGAAGCCCAGAGCAGTGCAGGGCATAAGACCCTTCAGTAACAAACAAAATGGCTAACCTATTGGCCTGTTTGTGCTTGGCAGCACCTTACATTGTGCTTATGTTGTGACTTATGTTGACACATTTAATCTTCACAATCTTCCTACACTCTTTGGGGGAATAAGCACCATTATTATCTCTGTCATTCAGGTATTAGAAATGGGAGATTAAGAAACCTGCTTACAGGACCAGGCACGGTGGCTCACGCCTGTAATCCAGCACTTTGGGAGGCCAAGGTGGGTGGATCACCTGAGGTCAGGAGTTCAAGACCAGCCTGGCCATCATGGTGAAACCCCATCTTTTTTTTTTTGAGACGGAGTTTCGCTGTTGTTACCCAGACTGGAGTGCAATGGCACGATCTCGGCTCACCGCAACCTCCGCCTTCTGGGTTCAAGCAATGCTCCTGCCTCACCCTCCCGAGTAGCTGGGATTACAGGCATGTGCCACCATGCCCAGCTAATTTTTGCATTTTTAGTAGAGACAGGGTTTCACCTCGTTGACCAGGATGGTCTCGATCTCTTGTCCTTGTGATCCACCCACCTCGGCCTCCCAAAGTGCTGGGATTATAGGCGTGAGCCACGGCGCCCGGCCTGAAACCCCATCTTTTAGAAGTAAATTAAAAAATTAAAAAAAAAAAAAGAAAGAAACCTGCTTATGAGTGGAATAGTAGCTGGTGGAGCTGGACTTGGGGGGTTGCCATGGCAAACTGTCTGTTCTGCCTGTTGTCATCAATAACAATGTTGACAAAGAGCACATCCTGCAGAACAGAAGTGTGTTGGTAGAGAATAGCCCTGTTCTACTCCTAGCACACCGCAGATACCCGCTCCTCCCGCTGTCATCTCAGGGTACCATGTTGCAAGGCAGGCTGAAAAGCCAAGCACAGTAGCCAAGCCGTTGCTCTCATTCATTCATTGTATTCCACTTGGTGTTTTAACTGGAGCCAAGTATGCATATGTATAAATATACACATATAATTCTCCTAGAAGTTAGTCCTAGGAAGACGTTCCATCCCTTCACGAATCGATTAATTTACAGACATTGGGATTAAATTATCTTTTGTGTTGATTTCTAAATTGATGGCAAATTTAGTGTTTATTTTTGGTGACCATTTCATTCCTGGTTTTTAGTACAATTAACTCTCCCTTTTCTCTGCATGGGTTCTCTAATTCCTGTAAGTGTGTGTATACATTACTGTAAGTGGACACAAATTCTGGAAAAATATTAGGTCTACCTTTTAGTTAATAGAAGAAAAGTTATTTTTCTTACTAATTATTTCTAATAGACTCACACTGCCTTTATAACTTATGTGAAAGTATTATGTTTTGTAACATATAAATCTAGTACATTTGATTGAGTATAGAAGAGGAATTCTTGGGAATTTAAAATGCATTCACATTGAGCAGGCATTTTGTTTTTTTGGAATGACTATTGGTGTTTATTTTTTGTTGCAATCTCTAGTAGTTTTTGTTTGTTTTTGAGATTGAATCTCACTCTTTTGCCCAGGCTAGAATGCAGTGGCGCAATTTCGGCTCACTGCAACTTTCACCTACCAGGCTTGAGCAATTCTTATGCCTCAGCCTCTTGAATAGCTGGGATTACAGGCATGTTTCACTCTTGGCCAATTTTTGTATTTTTTTTTTTTTTTTTTAGTAGACACAGGGTTTTACTCTTTTGGCCATGCTGGTCTTAAGCTCCTGACTACCAGTGATTCTCCCACCTCAGCCTCCCAAAGGGCTGGGGTTGCAGGCGTGAGCTACTGTGCCCAGCCTACAATCTAGTATTTTTAACATATTAACTTTGTGAAGTCTGGAACTTGAAGTCTAAGCTAGTTCAGTTACTTAGTCATCTTTTATACAGATAAATATAATTTTATGTAATAGGTGTATTTCTGGAGGAGTTGCTCATTCAAAAAGTCAGGAGTCATGCTCCTTAAAGAAGTTCTATTAGGACTCTTTTTTGCAAAGTGACTAGATAATCTTCACACCATTTGAAAACAACTGTCTTCTGGATTGTCCTAGCAGAGTTTCTTCCAGTGGTAATATGGCTGTATAAACAGTGATTACAACTAACAGCACATTTGTGGATACTGAAACTATGATTTCTGTTTCCCTTTAATCTTGTTGAGGCATCTGCAACAAGAAAATTTGTTGCTACTGAGGATGAGAGGAAAATCTAGTTAGCTCAGCTTATTTCTAAGCATTTAGTTCTTTTGCTAACTACTAAATTCATCATAAATGCTTGTGAAGATTACTTGCTCAAAAAAATCACATAAGCAAAGACATTTTATGTGTCCTTAGTATCAACAGGCAACTGACTAATGTTAAATTATTAAAAAGTCAGAGGAAGTTTGTATCTGAGCTTGGACCCATCATGGACACTTGTAGACAGTTCCATGGAATTGTATATGTATAACTGTCTTGAGTTTACATTCACATTAGTTGTTTGTATGCTAAATTCCTTCAAGTCAGCCATTGAATTTTCAGTTCCAAATTTTAATTTACCCTTTGCACATAAGTAATTTCACTTTAGTTCAATATTTATTAAGTTCTTTTTATGTTCTAAGCCTTAAGCACTCCCTGCCATTGCTATACACACAGAGGTCAATCACGGTCTGTACGCAGGTATGTGCTGCCAGCAGGTATATATGCAGGTATAAAATAGTATACCCCAAAGGAAGGCCCACTCATTCAACATTTTGTTGTAGTAAATAATATTCTTCTTTAGTCCAGGCACAGTGGCTCATGCCTGTAATCCCAGCACTTTGGGAGGCTGAGGTGGGAGAATCACTTGAAGTCAGGAGTTCAAGACCAGCCTGGCCAACATGGTGAAACCCTGTCTCTACTAAAAATGCAAAAATTAGCCATGCATGGTGGTGTGTGCCTGTAATCCCAGCTACAAGGGAGGCTGAAGCAGGAGAATCACTTGAACCTGGAGGCGGAGCTTGCAGTGAGCAGAGATCATGCCACTGCACTCCAATCTGGGCATTGGAGTGAGACTGTCTCAATCAATCAATAAAATCAAGCAATAAAATTGATATGGTTTGGCTCTGTGTCCTTGGCAAATCTCATCTGAAATTGTAATCTCCACGGATCAAGGGAGGGACCTGGTGGGAGTGTTGGATCACAGGGACAGTGTCCCCCATGCCGTTCTCATGATAGTGAGTTCTCACAAGAGCTGATGCTTTTTTTTTTTTGGGGGGGGGGGAAGAAGGGAAGGAGGACATTAGGGAGGAAGGAAGGGATGAAGGAAGGAAGGAAGGGAGGAAGCAGGGAGGGAGGGAGGGAGGGAGGGAGGGAAGGGAGGAAAGGAAATCAAGCAATGAAAGAAACATTGCCGACCTGGATCTAGAGGTTTACAAGTTGATTTCTTTTTTTTTTTTTTTGAGAGAAGGAAAGAAAAAAATATACTAAGTAAAGGAGAGGAAGAAAGAGGAAGAGAAAGAGGGAGAGTAAATGGAAATATTGCTTTATTTTGAAAAAAATTGGGTATTAATAATGGCCAATCAATGTTTCATTTAAACTAATGGGTAGGTGTGATGTGGTATTGACAAGAATGTATATTTTGTGTATTTGAAGTG